CTTTGTTTCAGCTCACAAGGAATATCTATAAAGAAGTAATGTCAACAGTTTACAAGAAATTGAAAATTGTTGACATTGAATTGATGGATACGGCCGCAACACCCTCAAAGTCCCCCGATAGAGCATAGCAGGAAGAAGCTCAGGAGGAACACAATCAAACCCAGGGGCACCTGCTGCTACATCCCTGGCAACTCAGCAACAAGTTGACAAGCCGGAGAAAACCAAAGGGGCACCTCAGAAAGAAGAACAACCTGAAGAAGTCCCTGCTGGTCAAGTAGATGAGGATGTTCCTCCCCGCCAAACAAGAACATATGCTAGGAAAAAACCATCGGCGGCCTCGTCTAAAAACCAAAATAACTCTGCCCTCAATGCCCTGTTTTCTTTTTGTACCCGCAAATCACCGTCTGATGAAAACAGGTACCTCAAAATTAATTTGCTAGTTCAAACTAATTTATATATTTCTGTGACAATATAATTCACATACATTCTATTTATATGAAATGGTGCTTGTTAGTATGCTCGGAGTCCATTTGTCACAATCAGACCTACACACTCTCTACAATAGACAGTGGGTATCCAATATGGTATGTATTACTTACTTTTCATAGCATTATTTAATATTCAGTTCCATTGTTTAATGTTGAGCTGCCCAAATTAGATTGTCATCTTTGCTGCAACACTATGGAATCACCAAAATTAGAACAAAATGGTGTTGTAGCTCGACATTTTCTTAACCCCCTCTTTATGGTTAGAATTTTTATACCTTACTTGTATTCAGTAGTTTCAATATAATCTGATGAGTGGATAATAATTTTTTTCCCATATAGGATAATGTAATTGTACATTTCGAGAGGGACTGTGAAGACACACCACTTTTGTAGAAAGTGTCTTCGATCAAATTGTAACAGGATATGACATCTTCAGTTGCAATTGGGTAAGTTTAATTATAGTTGTTATAATGTACGCTTACTTACAAGCATACTACTGTTTAGTTACTTTCATATCTATGTATAGTTACTGAAATTTTATAATTATTGTAGGTTTTTGCTCCTATCCTCTACAAGGAGCATTGAAGTTGTTACACGCTGTCCCCTACAAGCAAAATACTATATGTGTTAAATTCCATGAAGTTGAACGAAGCAAACCCAAAGCATCAACTCGACCAGTTCACGGTATCATGTCATTGGCACCATATTCATAGATTTCACTGCACTATCCTCTCCACCATCCGACTAATATGTATGTCTCTGTTTGCCCAGGCGATAAAATTTCACGAGCTCCTGCAAGAATTTGGCCACAGATCCCTAGAAGACAACCAAGTCAACCTGGAATATGTCAATCTCCCTCTGCAATCAAACGGGTGAGTATAGAATTAAATTAATTGGAGCATATAATGTCTCGTCATATTTTTCATGTTTAATATGTGGATGCAGTTCTGATTGCGGGGTGTATGTACTAAGATACATGCAGACTTGGAATAATGCACCCATGCCTAAGTATTCTCCCATAAGTGACTGATCACAACAACACTACTGTGATGATTTGCACAAGATAGTGCATTCAATTTTAATATGATACGTTTCTACAGGCCATGGTATGAGAGTTCAGAAAACAATATGTAAGTGACTGGGTGACACACCCCAGAAATGAATACAGGGAGAAAGTACTCAAGGATACGGGGGTCTAGGACAAACTGGGTTGAGTTAAGCTTCGCATAGCCTATCATGGGAAAATAAGGAATTGTAACAGTTTCTGGTGGACATGCAACATGAAGAATTTTTAATGCCCTGAATTTTTTTTGTGTAATTACTCATATGACATAGATGCATGAAAATAATTATTGATTGCTGGTTAAGCTTATACATACTTTATAGATCTAGGAAAACAATTGTACAGACATTCTTTATTAGTTATTGTACAGATCTATATTTCTTGCATACTTTTTCAAGCATATATTGAATACATTGAGAGAGTTATGCTTCGAACTGAATGGAGATGTGCGTGTAATGGAATGGATCTCTATTTGTAACTATACAAGTTTGTGGTTGTAACAGAATATCAAATTTTCACTTTCGATAAAATTGCTGAACAGCCCTTGTATGTTGCTTGTAAATAAACATGGCTATGCTTTTAACTGAACATGTCTTTGCTTCTAACTGTACTGGTGTCTGCTTGTAACTGAATGAGTCTTTGCTTGTAACTATGAAGGTTTCTATTTGAAACTATACAACCTCTGCTTGTAACTGAACGGGGGTATGCTTGTAACTATACAGGTCTCTGCTTGTAATTGAAGAAGTATTGCTTGTAACTGTAAAAAACTCTACTTGCAACTATACAATCTCTGCTCGTAACTGAAAGAGTTTGGCTTGTAACTGTACTGGTTTCTGCTTGTAACTCAATGAGTCTTTGCTTGTAACTATAAAGGTTACTGTTTGAAGCTATACAACCTTTGCTTGTAACTGAACGGGCATTTGCTTGTAACTATACAGGCTCTGCTTGTAACTATAAAAAATTCTGCTTGCAAATATACAGGTCTCTGCTGATAACTAAAAGAATTTGGCTTGTAACTGTATTGGTCTCTGCTTGTAATTGAATGAGTATTTACTTGTAATTATGAATGTTTCTGTTTGAAACTATGCATTCTCTACTTGTAACTGAACCGGTGTTTGCTTGTAACTATATAGGTCTCTACTTGTAACTGAAAGAGTATTGCTTGTAACTGTAAAAAATTCTGCTTGCAACTATACAGGTCTCTACCTGTAACTAAACGAGTTTGGCTTGTAATTGTACTGGTGCTGCCTATAACTGAATGAGTCTTTGCTTGTAACTATGAAGGTTCCTGTTTGAAACTATACAACCTCTGCTTGTAATTGAACAAGTATTGCTTGTAACTGTAAAAAACTTTGCTTGCAACTATATAGGTTTATGCCCGTAACTAAATGAGTTTTGCTCGTAACTGTACTGATTTCTGCCTGTAACTGAATGAGTCTTTGCTTGTAACTATAAAGGTCCTATTTGAAACTATACAACTTCTGCTTGTGACTGAACGGGTGTCTGCTTGTAACTGTACAGATGTCTGCTTGTAACTGAACAAGTATTGTTTGTAACTGTAAAAAACTCTGCTTGCAACTATTCAAGTTTCTGTTTGTAACTGAACGAGTTTTACTTGTAACTGTACGGGTCTTTGCTTGTAACTGAATGAGTTTTTGCTTGTAACTATGAAGGTTCGTGTTTGAAACTATACAACCTCTGCTTGTAACTAAACAGGTCTTTGCTTGTAAGTATACAGGTCTCTGCTTGTAACTGAACAAGTATTACTTGTAACTGTAAAAAACTCTGCTTGCAACTATATAGGTTTCTGCCCGTAACTGAATGAGATTTGCTTGTAACTGTACGGGTTTCTGCCTGTAACTGAATGAGTCTTTGCTTGTAACTATGAATGTTCCTGTTTGAAACTAGACAAGCTCTGCGTGTGAATGAAAGGGTCTTTGCTTGTAAGTATACAGGTCTCTGCTTGTAACTGAACAAGTATTGCTTGTAACTGTAAAAAACTCTGGTACAACTATATAGGTTTTTGCTCGTAACTGAACGAGTTTTGCTTGTAACTATACAGGTCCTGCTCGTAACTGAACAATTGTATGCTTATAACTGTAAAAAAAAACTCTTCTTGCAACTATACAGGCTCTACTGGTAATTGAACAAGTTTTGCATGTAACTGTACTGGTCTCTGCTTGTAACCGAGCGAGTACATATGCTTGCAACTATAAAGGTCTCTACTTGCAACTATATACATTCCTGCTTGTAACGAAACAACGGTTTGCTTGTAATCTAATGAGTCTGTGTTTGTAACTCAATGAAACTCTGCTCATAACTGAACTAGTCAACCACTTAATTCCATAGATAGAAGTATGCTCGTAACTGAACAAATATATGCTCGTAACTAGATCTTTCCTAGTTGGTGAGCTAAATATTTAATTACAAATAAAATTTATTACTGACCAAATTGTAACCGATAAAGGGGGTCACAAATTAGTGACTGCAGTAAAAAGATCATTTCCTTTAAGTAATGACTCTATAGTAATGGCCTAAAGGGGGTCACTAATTAGTGACTCTTTTTTGTAACCGCCAAATTCAAGGTTAGTAATTAGTGACTCATTTGTAACCGCCGTAATGGGGGTCACTAATCAGTGACCGACAGTAAAGGCCCACTCTCCAAATTTGTGACCCTCTTTGTGATCCACCATGAGAGGGTCACTAATTAGTGACTCATTTATAACCGCTCATATTCGGTCACTAATTACTGACCCTTTTGTAACTTATCGCGTAGCGGTGGCTAACTTTGTGACCGATTTCTGACTGTAGTGACTGCAGTCACAAATGCGATCACAAATCGGTTACTATTTTTTCCTAAATAACTTAGCCTTAGTCGGTCACTATTACGTTACTAATCGGTCACTAATTAGTGACCAATTGGTGCGGTCACTAATTTGCGGTTACTAATAGTGTTTTTTCTGGTACTGATTGTCTTATCACTTCTCCACCTTCCTCCTTCCTTCGTTCCTTAATTGGTAATTTTTAATTTTCAAATAAACAAACTATTGATTGGTAATTTTTATGAATTTATGATTTATTTTGAGTACTAGATTACAAATAAAATTCATTCAAAATTAAAAATTGAATTCAAGTTCATCTTAAAGTTCCAAATTTAACATTCCAACACAATAATATTGAAGAAGAGAATATAGAGAGTGTGGCAACGACAAATATGGAGATAAGATTTTACTTGCAAAGGTCAGACATAACATTGACGTGTCTGGCCTGGATTGCCCAGAACACCACGTATGAAATATTTCAGTACTACAATTATTTAGATTTGGTGTTTTCAAAATTACAAATAATTAAACTTAAAAAAAAAGGAGAGAGAGATATATGGAGAAGATTTCGTCCCTCAAACATCCCACAAGGGGACAAGGATAATTAATCTGCAGTGGCTTCTCCACTTAAACGGCTTTCACTCGTCGGAGAAAATTATTGAGATTCAAGTCTGACGATCCGCCTTCTTTTGCAGCTTCTCTTGCCAAGCTCTTCCATTTCTGGGCATTCCTTCTCATCTCTTCCCCTCTTCCTTCACCTCCCATCACTATATCTATGCACTTCCTTATCTCATTCCCCTCCACTATTCCTTCTTTATTCTTCACCACTCTTATTCCTGTCTTCCACACGTCCTCAATTAGCTTGGCGTTAGTCGTTTGATCCGACCACTGTGGAAAAGCCACCACCGGCACCCCTGAGACCAAACTTTCCAAAGAAGAATTCCATCCGCAGTGAGTCACGAAGCATCCAACAGACGGGTGCGATAAAACCTCTAATTGGGAGCACCACGGCACTATCATCCCTCGTTTTTCCAATTTCTCTGTGAACTTCAGCTGCTCTTCCTTGTCTCCTTCAGAGCTGGCCCTTATCACCCATAGGAATGGCCTGTGGCTTTCTTGCAACCCACTGGCAATCTCATCTATTTGCCGCTTTGACAACACTGACATGGTTCCGAAAGATACATAAACGATAGATCCTTGTGGCTTTGAATTTAACCACTCAATATAATCACTTGAATTTTGGAAGAGATCTCCTCCAAATGAAGTGTCAGATGGATCTTTACCATCCGTGAAAGCCGATGGGATCAATGGTCCCACGCCTACCAAATTGAGCTTCTCCGTAGCCCGGAGAGCCTCAGCTTCCAATGCATTGAAGGTGTTCACGAGTATCTTTGGGTTAGTTTCTAATTCAACAATCTCCAAATGTTCCTTCAGTAAGGGAAATACAAAATTGTAGCAGTTGGAAGCTTGGAGAAATAAGGGAAGGTCGGGAGCAGCGAGGGGTGGGAGTCCCGGCAACTCAATATAATCAGAGCAAGCGATGTTTCTAATAGGATCGCCGTAAACCGTTGAAGAAATGGTAGTAGACAGCAAAAATGGTGGCTGGTTGAATCCAAAGAAAGGTGGATGGGACATGAAGATCGTGAGCCAATTGGCCCACCCAAGGGAGGAAGATGGTGTAGACAACGTGGTCGAACGGCTGGCCTTTCTCTATACTAGAAGTGATAAGAAGCTTAATTGCTTCTGACCCACACCGCCTCAGCTCAGCCATGAATTGTTCCAAGTCGTCAACTTCCGTCCACCGTTTGTCCTGGCCCTCGAAGAAACCCACCATTTTCAAGCCCCGTAGAGTAGGAGCACGTTTAGCCATGCGATTGAGGGCGAAGGAGGTCGTGACGAAGGTGACCTCCACACCCATTTTCGCAAGGCGCTTGGCGAACTCAAGGGATGGGTTGATGTGGCCTTGCTCTGGAAATGTCACCAGAAGAATGCGACGATTTTTCTCCATGTTGGCAACTGCTTGCTGGTAGCTGCTCTGGTTGCAGGACGTACTTTAGTTGATTGCGGAGTGATGAGAGAAACTGCATGGCTAAAGGCAGGATTTATAGACAAATTATTGGAGGTGGGGTCCATGACGTTTATCGAGGGTAGAAGAAATTTAATATATTTATTATGATATTTAGGATTAAAATATATTTCATTTATTTTTAAAAAAATTTATTTAAATAATATTTAATCTTATTTTTATAGTAATTTTTTTTCATTGATTAACTATTAATTAATAATTATTAATAATTTTATTGAAAAATAGAGAAAGGTGACTTAATTTTATTTGAATGTATTACCTATCTAATTAAAATATTGTGATATTTTATTTCATATCGATTTTTAAGGGAAATCTGATATGGTATATAAGAGATTAAAAACTACTACTGCATAATTTAACTTGAAGTATTTTGAGTCAGTAATTCAAATTTAACAAGTTGTTAAAAGCAATAACTTTCGGGTTGTTACAAATAGTATCAAAGCAAAATAATTTTCGGACCTGTTTTGTTTGGACAAAAATATGAATTTCTGACTTTATGAGAACGTCAAGTGTTTAAATAAGAGATATTATGACATCCCATCCCACATCAATTTTTAAGAGAAATCTGACATGATATATAAGAGATTAGTAACTACTACTGAACAATTTAGATTTACGCATTTTGTATTAGTGATTCAAGTTTAACAAATTATTAGAAGTAGTAATTATTGAGTCGTTACAAATATATTTTACTCTAGTATTTATTTTTTTTATTTTCGTAGGTTATAAAATAAAATATATTTTTATTTATGCCCACATGAATAAATTAATTGAACAAAGTACTCGTAAAAATATTTGTAAAAAAGGAGAAGTAGCGTAATAATATATTAAGAGAAATTGAATTCGGTCCAAAACCTGGGCACAACATGTGCGGTGATGATGGTGATATTTGTCCTCCGGTTGGGATCCTTGCAGAGACAAAATTGACAACGCTTGAAAAGTACGATACGGCACCTTTTTATTTGTTTACTTATTTGTTTGGCCCTTTACTTCACGTTAAGATAAGGACCTTTCCTCTTCATACAACAAATAAGGCATAAACTCCAACGGTCAGATTAGCGGATGTTTGGTAAATGTATTATTGAAATTAGAGGTTGAAATTTATGGTAAAAGAAGATAAAATTCAATTGTGTTCAGAAGTTGACTGTCGTTATAAAATATGTTATAAAGTTTTTAGAATATAGTAAAATAGGTATTTAGAATACAAATTTTGTAATTTATTTAGGAGAAAAAATTTAAAAATTCAAAAAAGAATTTATGGGATATTTTGTATTTAAAAATTTTTTAAAAGTATAAAATAAATTGTACTTAATTACATTAATCTCTCTCACAATTAAAAGTAAATCTTCCAGTACTACCAAAATTTAATTCTAATTCTATTTTTTTTTTTACATAAATTAAAAGAGGAGAAATCAGAAGTGTATTTCAAAATCCTTTTTCAGTACTGAATATGGCATTGGCAAGGTCAAAATTATTTTTAACAAGTTATTCCAATACCATCTTAGCTTTTTATTTGTTTGCTTATTCATTTATCTATTTATTTTAAGTTGAAATATGGACCTTTTGGGCTTCATACAATAAACGTGTCATACACTGCAATAGCCATATTAAGATGGGTCTTTGCAAATGTTCATGTAAATTTAAAAGTTGAAATTAAAAATATAAATGACTAAAAGTATATTATAATTAGACATTAAGTGTATTTATAAATTATGTTATAAACTTTTTGAAAGTTATAAAATATGTATTTAGAATATAATTTTTATAATTTATTTTAGGAGAGGAAAAAAATTAAAAATATTTTATATTCTAAGAAAAAATTCTATAAAATAATTTGAATTTAAAAAATTTTATAAAAAATCCAAAACTACTTGTATTTAATGTTTTAGAAATTAAACTAAACTGATTTAAATATAAACTAAATTAAATTAAACTTAAAACTTTAGTTTAGATTAATTTGGTTTGGTTTAGTTTTAATTTTGATTTATAATTATTTAAATAATATTTAAATAAATTATTTATTTACTTTTTTTATTATCAACTATATATGTATATGTATGTGTATGTATATATATACATATGTATAAACACATACATAATATATGTGTATATATTCATGTGTGTGTGTGTGTGTGTGTGTGTATTCATACAAATATAAAATATATATGTATGTGTACACGCACATATACATATAGGTATATACATATATGCATAAATATATAAATATATGTATTTACGTATTTATGTATGTGTGTATATGTGTATGTTTGTGTGCCCACACACACACTTATGTATATGCTTGTGTGTGCATATGTTTATATTTATATATATGTATGTGTGTGTGTACATACACATATTTGTGTATATATATATATGTATATATATGATTCATATAAATATATATTTATATAAATATGTTGTGTGAGTGTGTTTGTATTAATATTTTTTATAAAAGAGAAATATTTTCAAAATTTTATTATTTGGTTTAAAATGGTTTTAGTTTGATTTTTAGACCAAACAAAACCTTAATTTTGGATTATCATTTTAAATCAAATCAAACTAAATTTAAAAATCAAACCAAATTTTAAAATTTGATTTGATTTGGTTTAATTGACTTTATTTTGTACACTCCTATATATAGATACATAAAAATATATATTTATATAAATAGGTGTATGTGTGTGTATTAATATTTTTTTATAAAAAGAAATATTTTCAAAATTTTGGTTTTTGGTTTAAAATGATTTGGTTTGGTTTTTAAACCAAATCAAACCATAATTTTGGATTACTTTTTTAAATCAAATCAAACCAAACCAAACTAAATTTAAAAAAATAAATCAAAATTTAAAATTTGATTTGGTTTGGTTTAATTTAATTAATTGGTTTGATTTTGCACACCCTACCCTACTCCATACTGAAAATAACCAAAAAAGAAAAAGAAAAATTCACATGATAAAAACATGTAAAATGAAGATATGAAACTTCAATATTTACAACAATAAATTCAGAAATTAATATTTAAATAATTTTCTGCAGAAAAAAAATAATGGAGGAGCAATCAGATTAATTAAATGTCTTAAGCTCATGTGTAAGTTCCCCACACCCTGATTTTGGAACATAAATTGAATCAGATATAACGAAGAATATGAAAACTGAGTTCAAATTGTGAAACTTAAGTACTTCTTTTGCCATTATAACCGGACGTTAATATTTTTCGAACATCTTCAGCATATTTAATTTAAAAATAAATAAACGCACATGGTTTGATTTGGTTTAATTTGGTACTCATATTTAAACCAAAGTATACTTTACAATTTGTAATTTTTAAAAACAAACTAATCGCAATTTATAGTTTAGTTCGATTTTAAACCATTGTATTTGCAAAAATATAATGAAATAAATTCATATTACTTTTATATATAATTTGAAAGAGTTTTCCTCAAAATTCTAACATAAAAATTTGCTTAAATTTGTATAATTTAATAAAATTCATTATCTATTGACTAATTACAGTAAATATACATTATACAATAAATATATTTTATAGTATAATAAATTTTGAGTCATTCTAACATAAATTACCTTTTAAGAAAGAAAAACAATCCATTATCAGAAGAAATATAATTATAAAAAATAATAGAAAGAAGAAATATATAGTATAACAACAAAAATAAATTATATATATATATATAAAGATAAAATTTTTAATTATATATATAATATATGAATTATACAATTTAGTTTAATTTATATAGTATATTTATATGTCAAATATTATAAACCATAACTTTTTTTAAACTAAACTGAATCAAGATTTAATCAATTTAAAATGATTTGATTTTGTTTGGTTTGTCGAACACCCCTAAATGCATCTTGCAGCTAATAATTTTTGTGTTATATGTTGATGATCCAGTACCAAAACTTATTGAATTTCTTCTCCTTCCATGAAAAATACACCACGAGTCATTCCGCAAATACAATTAAGAATAGATTGCAAATGTAAACATTAAATACATATATATATATGTGTGTGTGTGTTGTGTGTTTATCAAAGAATTAAACTATCCCTCTTTCATTGTAAACCCGTAACAGCTAGCAATCTAATATGACATTTTTTCATATAAAAAGTATAGACATTTAACACGTGTTTTTAATATGAATTTAAATTTGATAAATAATTGAAATATAATTATTAGTTACATTTTCAATATTCAATTAACTAGTATAAAATCTGATTACCATGTCAAATTTTTTGTCTTTATTCAAGTTTTCAATATGAATTTCAATATTTCTTTATAACATTTTATTTTAATAATTATATTCCTTATATTTTATGTTATTTTTATTTAATTCAATAAAATTGTTATTTGCAATAATTTGTATTTATTTGTTTCTTTTTTTATCCTGCGAAAGACATGGGTTAAAGTACTAGTTTTACTTGTAAAGGAAGTTGGCTGCCTAACACGGATTAGCTGCCTAACTCTATTTTGGACAACAAATTTAGAAATATTTCTTTTATTCAATAACTTAGGTCTCTAATATTTTAACATAGCCGCCTAACTCTGTGCCCTAGCATCTCAGCAATCAAAAAATAAACAAGTTTACGTGATCGGAAAATAGAAATAGAGGAAAAAAGATCGGAGAAGGCAGCCCGTTCCCGTCGGGGGTGTTTGATGCCGACAAGGAAGGCAACTAACCCGGTTGGCGGAGAAGACGAAGCAGATTAATGTTGCATGTAGAGAAGATGCTGCCGGTGGGAGAAGACAACAGATAAAACAATAGAGAAATTCAGAAAACATCTTATGAAGTCTATTTTGGTTGGGAGAAGCAGCTATTTTAAAATGCAAGATCAGTGGGATTTCAAAATTTTCGAACTTGCATTTAAAAATTTTGAAATTACATCCGTTTGTACAACTGACGTGGATTAATGCTTCCGTTTAAAAGGCCGACTAGGATCAATTACACATGTGCTAGGCTGTGGCTAGAGCGTTACGACAAAGG